ACTGTGTGGGTTTGATTCATGTCTTACTGGCGGATGCAGGAAACCCTGGATCAGTTGAGGAATTAGTACTTAACGATCCACCCTCCATCCAGGCCTCTGAGAGTTAAGGAAGTGCAAAAGGGCAATAAGCCCTTGGTTTATGATGTGTCTCTAGCTGAAGGCATCATCTGCAGGACTAGAAAAGCTCCAGATGATAACTACCTAGGAAACAACTGAGCCATCAGGGTAGCCACCTGGCAACGCGCTGCTATCAGAGGTGGCTCCCATGGTTATAGCCAATAAGCAAGTGGCAACTCTTGTCTCTTAGATAAAGACTGGAGTTCTAAAGATGGTTGGCTTCCCTGAAGGAAGAAATATTTTCCCATACTACCCTGCCAAGGTCAGGTGATGTCTAGCCCACCACTGGTATTATGACTTCCAGGAGAGAATGTGTCTAGGGAATCTCGAGTCTCCTCTAGACAGGTTACAAGTACGGGGGTAAAGTCAGGTGCATTTGGTTGATGGCTGAGACAGCTTGCCTCTCACCTTGTAAATCTATCTGAATTGCTCATCAGCTTTCCCTAAGCAGGGGGGTGGAGGTGCCCTAGTTTACCCGTCTGTACTCAGTCACTCACAAGGTCGACTCAAAATTGCTTGCAAAGAATAGGGCAGAGAACTGACTAGAATTATGCTAATATATATGCTATGAATATACAATATATACATGAGACATGCACATATTTACACTATACATACAGCCAACACAAGTTTGACTCAAGCAGCTTTGTAGACTTGGCCCCAGTGTATTTTTATAGTGTCGTGTTCATTGGTCATACTCATGACATAGAAGCCTTGCAAGAATCTCATGGTCTTTCTGAATCATCAAAAAAAAAAAAAAAAAAAAAGAAAGAAAGAAAAGAAAAGAAAAGAGTACTATGTTCACTCTAACTTTCTACGAATGTTTCTGGGTGTTTTTTTGGAGGGTGGGGTGGGGGCAGGATCTCATTTTGTAGCCTAGGCTGGTTTTGAATTTGTAATCCTCCTACACCAGCCTCCTGGGTGTTGTGATCATAGACATGAATCACCACACTCAGCTTGCTGGCTTATATGTACATGAAAACTGGTAATGTCTGCATATACATATAGACATACATATGTGTATACAAAATAAGACGATTCAGTGCAGCACAGTAAACTGTTTCTTTTTTTTTCTTTCTTTTTTTTTTTTTTTTGGTTTTTTCGAGACAGGGTTTCTATGTGGCTTTGGAGCCTGTCCTGGAACTAGCTCTGTAGACCAGGCTGGTCTCGAACTCACAGAGATCCGCCTGCCTCTGCCTCCCGAGTGCTGGGATTAAAGGCGTGTGCCACCATTGTCCGGCCAGTAAACTGTTTCTAAACATGTTAGAAAATGTAGAGTGAGTTTCTCTAACTGATATCCTAAAGGGGATTTCCAAAGGCTTATTTTCTTAGGTTACCCAGTGGAAACAGGGACCTCAGGGCTGGGAAGAGATGGAAGCTGTCTGTGTGCATGCATGAGTGTATTCATATAGGTGCATGGGTACAACATGTGCATGGTGGGGGTTGGCTCTCTCCTTCCACCTTGTGGGTCCTGGGGATTGAATTTAGGCCTTCAATCTTGGTGGCGTGTGCCTGTACTGAGCTATCTTGCTGGCCCTGCTTCTGGATTTCTTGCCACTTCAGTGGGTCTTTGGCTCTCAAATGCAGGTGCTATTAGGGCTGCTGCATTCGTTCGATGTAAATGACAAGCGACTTACTGTACTGTCCTCATACCTGAACCATCTGCCATCTTTTCCCCACTAGACTGTAAGCTATGTGAAGGCAACCACCAAAAGGATCACAGCTGTCATGCCCAGCTGTATTCCCAACGTCTGTCATGGCGGGTCCTTGAGAAACATCTGTTTAGCAAATAAGGGAAATGTTTGCTTTGGTCAAGTGCTGTGAGGGAGTGGATTCCTTCCCTACCATCCTCCCATTCTTCTGTTTTTCCAGGTTTGCAAAGAAGCGGTGCTTCCTGCCCCTGGTGCAGGGTTAACAACATCCTTTTGGCCTGGTAGACTGAGTCCTGAGCTTGGCTAGTTAGGAACCAACAGCTTCTCTGAGGCCAGACTTTTTCCTCCTTTCCACAGAGACCGTGGCCTGAGGGGATTTTTGACTTTGGTGCCTGGGAAAAGCCCAGCCCAAGCTGTGAGAACACCTCTTCTTTCCGTAGGCCTGGTGTTGAGGCAGACCTTGAACTTGCAATCTTTGTGCCTCAACCTTCAAAGAAGCTGGGATTATGTGCCTTTACCACTGGGCATGGCTAGATGCCTCTCCGCTACAGCCTTTGCTAAAGGATCATGGTGGGCACTGGAACTTCTGTTCTAGAAAGTAAGTGTGAGCCCATGGAAGAAAACCACCTCAGCTTTGGAAGGTCATCGTAAAGGTCTCCAAGGCCAAGAAGGAACTATGAATCCACTGCAACTTGAGCTGAAGTCCTCAGTGGTACTCTTCTCTTCTTAGTGGGCACAAGAAAAGATGTGCAGATCAGCCTGGCATTTGCTGAATTGGGGTCAAGCCAGGAGGGTCACGTAGCAAGAACACTGTCAGTTCCTGCTATCAACCTGGCACCTAGCCATTCAGAAGGTCAAGAAACTGGCTCCAAACGCCTGCCCAGTCTCCATGGAGGTGCTATCCAGCATAAATTCCTAGCTTTTTGGTCTGAAGAAAGAGGAACAGAGCTTTTCTATTTGCTTCTGCCTCTGAGCTACCTCTTTCCATTCTAAGGAGGAACTTGGTAAAGCTGCGGCACCACAGTGGCTCCTTATGGAGACACAGGCCCATTTGCTAGGGAAGTCCTGAACTTCTGCCACTCTGCAGCTGTGCAAGGAGCTTCTCAGTAATTGCAGGCTTGAAGATGGGGTGGGAAAGTCATGCCTAGCTTCAAGAGAATCCAGGAAAGCAGACCCGGCTTTGACAGAGCAACAGGGAAGACACATGGAAGATGCTCAGTGAGGCTGAAGGGACATGTGCAGCCCGTGTACTGGCCCTGGTGCCACAGTCTCCATAGTAAGGGAAATATTGGCAACCAGCATTAGCTAGGGTGCTGATGGCATGGCAGATAATTGTCCCACAGAGCGGGACTGCATAACCATGCCGACTGCCCTCTCAGAGGGGAGAAACCTGGACCGCTTTCACTATTCCATCCGGTCCAACCTCGACTGGCCCCAGGTTCATCCTTCTGCCTTATCCTTTCTTTTGTCCCTTCCCTTCCTGCTCAGTAAGAGGCACAGTTTACTTGGATGTGATTAGCCAGAAGAGGGCCACAGGTGACAATGAGAATGTGAACAATAGTTTCTTCCAACATCTGACCATCTGTGTAGAAGTTTGAAAAGCCCAGACACTTCTTGGAGCTAGTCATCTGGAGGCTGGCAAACCCTCACCCCCAGTTCCTTCCTGCTCCAATTCAGTTCCTTTCATCTACGATGTGGACAGCAGTTTCTTTGGGACCAGCAATCCTCTTCCAAATCTGCATGTGATGAGCTGCCTTTCAACTGCTGTGAACAGTGACCTGAGATTGAAAGCTGGACCTGCTATGCGTGAGGCAGGCGGATCTCTGTGAGTTCGAGGCCAGCCTGGTCTACAAGAGCTAGTTCCAGGACAGGAACCAAAAGCTACGGAGAAACCCTGTCTCGAAAAATCCATAAAAAAAAGAACAATGTTTAAAATGGGCGATAATGAGCCCTCTAGGAGCTGGGTTTCTATTCTCAGATACCATGATCTCCAGCAGGTGCAGTGAGCCCAAACCAAGAAGGTTTGAAGGTTTAATAGCGGTCAAGTGGCAAGGGTGAATGGAGACAGTGTCCAGTTTATGGCAAGGGTGAGCTCTGGGTGCTGCTTACGTTCTGACAGTGATGCTTGGGCCAGGAAGACTTAGTGTGCATAGGTGAGCAAGCCTGAGATCTAACACATGGAGAGCCCAGCTCTCTGTCACCCTCTGCTCCTCCCACTTGTTTTGAACAGGAGCACCTGGGCTGGACAGCTTTTTTGTTTCAAGGCCTCAGTACCATCACCAGAACATCTCTGAGAAGTAGCCATACTAGATTGCCTAACTGGGACGCCTGCTTAGAAGCTGCATTTGTTCTTTATGGACCCCCCCCTTCTATTTCCAAGACTTCTTTTGGGCATGCCCAGTCTCCCCTACTCCCAGCCTTCAGTGATTTCGTATTCCAGATACTTCTGTCAATCCGCAATATGATGAACAAAAAGGAAGGTCTTATTTTCATTTTCAACGTTATTTCAATGAAGCCAGAAGAGGCACAAATCTCTCCTAGATTACTAAAGCTGTGTCTTAGAGTCAATCTAATCCTTTTTGAGAAAGCTTTTTTTTTTTTTTAAATGTAGTCTTGGCTGGCCTTGAACTCTTTCTGCCTCTGCCTCCTCAGCAGCTGGCATTACAATCATGTACCATTACACATATGTGCTATCATACCTGGCCAGTGCAATTCTTTTTTAAAAAATTTTTTATTTTATGTACATTGGTATTTTGCCTGCTTGTGTGTCTGTGTGAAAAGTCGAATCCCCTGGAACTGGAGTTACAGACAGATGTGAGCTGCCATGTGGGTGCTAGAATTAATCCTGGGCCCTCTGGAAGAGCAGCAAGTGCTTTTAACCACTGAGCCATCTCTCTAGTCCCCCAGTGCAATTTTTTGATTGACTGTATCATGTTATTACCGCTTTCACCTTACATACATCCACGGACTCAACCACAGTGTGTCGTCAATGGCATCCTTTGTGGAATAGGTACATGTGAATGTTATATGTGCTTGCCAGTGAGGTGTATCAGTAGTGTGTGTGTGTGTGTGCTATACTTCTGGCTGTTGCTAAGCAGGCTGGCACTGGTGGCACACGCTGCACACTAGGGCGGTGGAAGCCCCCCTCCATGACTTCAGAGTCTGGAGGGCCTCAGACACACCAAAACCCAAACCCAAAACCAAAACCAAAAAACTGATGCGGAGCCCTACCTGCTTTGACCATAGGAGGTGGAAGAGGCTGGTTGGCAGGCCTGGAGAAGACCATCTTCCTGGAATCCAGCAGAAGGCGGCAGTACCCCGCAATCAGGCAGGCAAAGTTGGTGGCTTCAGGCCACTCCATCAACAGCACCAGAGGCTGTGGAAGAGATGGTTCAAAACATAAGGACATGGAAAGGCAGGAGAGAGGCGAGAGAGAGGCAGGTGCAATTCTGGGAGGACAGCAACAAAGAAAAGACACGGAATAGTTACAGGAAGCGCATTCCAAACCCTTCTCGAGGTCCATGGCCAGGCAGTTTCTTCTGTCACGAACATTCCTTTGTAGTAATGGCTTCTCTAGGCGTCAGCATTAAAGAAGCCTTCGCTCACACATTTAATGAACCACCTTTACTGAAAAACCCTAGAATTATGTAAGACCATGTGACTGCTGTGTGGCTGTATTTGTGTTTGTCAGAGCTCAGCAGATGTGTGGGCCAGCTGGGAGAGTGGGGGTGAAACTGGGAATCTAGGCTAGGGATGGCCTGGAATATCCTTGAATGTAAGCACCTTGGCTGCTTGAAGTATCTTTTGCTCCTCTCCATATGCCCTGACAACATCCAGATGAGTCCATAGGAGTCCTAACTGTGACTTTAGGGACAAAACCTTTCTGCTCCAAGTCCTGCTTAAGCCTTCCTGATCTCCCCTCTATTTCCTGTATTTTCCAAAGTAGCCTGAAAATGTCCACTGGTTTTTCTTTTCTTTTCTTGGACACACATTTTTCACTCTGTAGCTCTGGCTAGTCTGGAATTCACTTTGTAGCCCAGGCTGGCCTCAGACTCATAGCAATCCTCTTGTCTTTGTCTTATGAGTGATGGAATTACATGCATGTGCCACCATGACAGTTTATTCGTCTTCCTTCCTTCCTTCCTTCCTTCCTTCCTTCCTTCCTTCCTTCCTTCCTTCTTTTCTTTTCTTTTCTTTTCTTTCCTTTTTTCAGACACAGTATCTCTGTGTAACCCTGGCTGTCTTGGAACTCACTCTGTAGACCTGGCTAGCCTCGAACTCTGCCTAGGATTAAAGGCATGTGGCTGTTTATTGGTGTTTCTTCAAAGAGCCCCGTGGTCTGGAGCTAAGGGTGGAAGGTTGAACAAGCGCTGCAGATAAATTTCGCTCTGGAAATTCTAAGATCTTATGATATATTAACCAATATATTCCATGAAACATCAAAGATTTTAGTATTTCAGATTCATTTAACCTCAAAGATCTCTTTTTTTTCCTTACAAAAAATTTCATACCAACAGCATTCTTGTTATTTTTTTTTTTCAATGCTAGAGATGGAATCTAGGACCTTGTGCATTCTGGGCAAAGACTCTACAATCAAACTACTCCCCCCGCCCCATTTGTTGCTGTTTTTAAACCTTACAATGGGAAATATTATCACATTCTGCTAATTGATCCTGGAGTTAACTCCTTAACTGTTTCAGAGATTCCTACAATGATAAACAAAACAGCAGTGCACTTTTATGAAACCTTTAAATTTGTTCTATCATTTTAAAGGTGTCATGTGAGTAAGTTGGATTAAATCAAAGTGAGACTGGCTGAGGAGGGAGTCATGGGCTCTGGGTAGCCATGACCTTTTGCGATTGCTAGAGGGCATTGTTAAGAACTAACAGAAAGTCGGGGGAGGTGTAGCAGTGCCCAGCATCCTAGTGTTTGGAGGTGAAGCTAGGAAGACCAGGAGTTCAGGGTCACCTTTGGATGCCTAGTGAGTTTGAGGTCAGCCTGGGCTGCAATAAACCCTGTTTCAAACCGGGGGTATGACTCAGTAGTAGATTGTTTGCCTAACACAAGTAAGCCCCTAGGTTTGATTTCCAGCACCGCAAAATAAAAGCCCAGAAGAATTAAGAAGGAACATCCTGTGTTCTATTGAATATTTGTAGAGGCAGGAGGTGGGTTAAAGTCAGCTTCCAGGGCACAGTTTGATCTATTCAACACACCTTGTAACTTGCTACATTTTGTTTATTTGAGACAGCGGTTTTATTTGGTTTGGTTTTGAGACAAGATTTCACTATGCAGCCCAGGCTGGCCTGGAACTCATAATCTTTCCTCCTCGGCTTCTCATTAACCTTGATGCTTTTGTCAACAGTGATTACCTTCTGCTTGGGACATTCGTCCGTGGTCTCTGTTTCTGTGAGGTGACACTGTCTTCTGGTTATGTGAATCCTGACCATCTTTGCATTGGTCTCTCTCTTTTTAAAGATTTACTTTTATTTATGTCAATATGTCTGCATGGTAGCATACACTCATTCCATTCATACAGGTGCCAAGGAAGGCACAAGAGGCAACAGGTCTTCTGGAACTGAAATTACAGGTGATTGTGGGCTGCCTGGTGTGGCTGCCAGGAAATGAACTCAGGTCCTCTGGAAGAGCAGCAAGTGCCTTCAACCACTGAGGCATCTCCCCAGCCCTGTCCATACTGCTCTTTAGCTAGCTCTTCTTGTGTAGCCTTTTCTCTATGTAGGCTCCAAGCTTCGTCTACAATTCTTGAGTCTTCCCCATGGTGGGTCAGCTTTGACCTCTGTGTTGAGATTCTTGAGTCAGTGTTTCATTTTATTTCCCCTTGAGCCCCTTTCCTTTCTCAAAACATATATAGTGCTATAAGGCAAATACCTTTTTGAGACAAGGTCTCATCCTGAAGCCTAGGTTGGCCTGTATTATGTAGCCCGTATTGGTCCCATACTGCAGAAATTCTCTGGCCTCAGCCTCTAGAGTGTCCCTGCACCCAGCTTGATTCATTAAGTAGTGTTTGAATATCCAGTTCCTGTGTATGTTACAATAAGGCATTTGGAGTGTCACTGAAAGAACAAATTAATGACTAATGATGCGTCTATTAAATTCACGAATTACCATGGGGAGGAAAAAGTCAATACACATTGAGGAGCAATGGCTCTTTTCTCCACTAAGAGAGTAGCCACAGATTAAATGTTATCCAGTCATTATTAGCAAAGGACACTGGTGATGGTTGTACTTCCAGTTAATGGAAACTCCTCAGTCACAATAGATTGGTCAGCCCTACATAAGACAGACAACTAAGAGGGTAGAATGGGGCAGGGGAGTCAGATATGCCCTCTAGCCTCACCCTGTCATCTTTAGCAGAAAGACACACAGAGGTTTGGATGTTGACAGTTGCTGCAATCATTACTGGAAGAACTCAAGATTCACTAGGTGTGACTCAGGGCATTCATGAACACTATGGACATTTCCATTGCTATGACTTTATTTTAGGATCTCACTGACTTTTCCTTACTTCTCAAGCTATGTGATGATGCTGAGATTTGGGGCGGGGGCTCTCAGCCTGGGGGTCCTTGTGTCTCTGGTCCCAAGCTGCTTCCGCTGTGTGTATTTATGCCTCACCTGTGGGTATGTTTTGTCATTCAAATTGTGACTTCTCATAATCTGGACAATAACTTAAGGACCTCCAGTAACACCCTAACTGGCTTTTCTTCTTCCAGTGTCTTCCTACTGCACTTTCCTATTTCTACTTAAGGGATCTTTCTAAAGCACAACTCTTACTATAACTGAGCCTTGTCAATAGCGATGAAACCCAGTTACCTTACAAGAGCGTTCAAGACCCTTCGGGATTTGGACCTATCCTATATCTTCAACCACGTGTCTCATCTTGGTTTATGTCCTTTCCTCATGTCACCACTCCTCGCCTTGTGTTCAAACAATGGCATATACTTTATTTTTTATTAATTTATTATTAATTATATATATTAACTTATTTGCCAAGCTAGTTCATCCCTTCCACACTTCAGCCTGTGTTGCTCCCTCTAGCTAAAATATGCATGTGTTCCATCAAGCCCACCCAGCCAGCTGACACAGTATGAGCCCCTCCTGAAGAGCCAGCTCATCTGACAGCTGTAGTCACTCATTCCAGAACACCACAACCAGGTCCTTGCCTTTGTGGAGCTCACAATGTAGCTGGCAATAAGTCATGCACCAAATAATCTTAGAACCAAATGTGGTCATGAGGTGTGATAAGATGTACGGAGGGAAATTACAGAGTTACCGGAACGTAGACTGTCCGGGAGCAGTGTGTGCATGGGCGTGAACATGTGTGCATGTGACATTCGGTCTCAGAAGCCAGAAGAAGCTCCTTTGCGGCCATGGCATTGGCTGACAAATTGAATACAGGACTATTTGCCCACTGCCTAGGCAGAGTGGCTGACTGGTAGATGGACAGATTGATGGGCTGGCTGCTTGCGGAGCAGTCTCACTCACTTGAACCCTGGCTGACAAACGGGCTGCAGGGCAGCCAGAATGCCAGACAGTCTCACATTTGGATTGTTTAGCTAACTGACTGGCTGCCTGTCTGACTACAGACAGAATTACTGACTGGAGTCTCACTGACTGACTGGCTTAACTGATTTCACATCAGTTTCCCCGTACACCCATGTAGTGCAATATCATCAATAAAACAGCAAGAAGGCAAAGTCCTGTGCTCTGAGAAGGCTAAGCACATCAAGAGGTGGCTCAGGACAGACAGCACAGCCCATCACATTAGTAGCCTTTCGAGGTAGCCAACTGGGCCCCAACATAGGCTAAGCGTGGCTTGTAGAAGGAACACAGATGAGCTTTTCGCCAACAGGGGTGCAAATCAAATTAAGGGAAGGTGAAAAGAGGTTGGATAGGTTTCTTATAAAAGTTCAAAACCACCCATTTACCTTAAATAGGATTTTAATGATCATGATGCCTCATGTAACACTTGCCCATACAGAAAACACTAAAGCAATAAAGCTCAAGGAGAAGAACGGGAAGCATGCTGGGCCAGAGATCCCATGGGACATTCCTTTGATGGTTCCTTTCCAACCTTATGAGCTTCTGTAGCAGCGGAGTAGGGTAATAGCCCTGTGGTGTCTGTTTCAGTCTGCTGTCTCTTGAAGAACAATATGTGAACACTGCCTCATGTTCTCTCTACTATGAACAAGTAAGCTGAGTGAAAACTGTAACTAAATACACCCAGGCCATCTTCAAGTGGAAAATAAGATAAGGAGAATGGAGTTTAAAGCACGAGCCAGGCAGGAGAAGCTACAGCAGGGATTAATTTGACATGCTCCAGCTGTATCTCCTTCCTGGGATGCCCTGGTATAGAGCTGG